GGTATGGAAGGTTTTTTTTTCCTCATACCTGTTAGCCATTAGTGCACATTTATTTCATTGAAATGCATGCTGTTTTTGTACCACATTGTCTTCTTTTTATTGAGTTGTAAGGAATGCCTGATCTTGGGTATCAACTTCTTCACAGATAGGTGGTTGGCAGATATTTTCCCAATATGGAGGCTATCTTTTACCATGTCCATCTCTTGTTTTTCCTGTGCAGAAGCTATTTTGTTTGCTGTGGTAGTACCTGTCCCTTTTCTATTTGGTTGCTTGGGCTTCGGGTAGCATAATCAAGATGTCACCGCCTAAAATAAAGTTGTGAAGCCTGCCCTGTATTTTCTTCAAAAGTTTTATAAGTTCACATCCTATGTTTAAGTTCTTAATCAGTTTTGAGTTTGTGTATGGTGTGAATTTTGAGTTTATCATAATACACTATGTGAGATAAAGGTTCAATATCATCCTTATGCATGTGTTATGATAATCTTTCCCCAAGGTTTTCCTTTTTCTAGTGTGTGTTCTTGGCATCTTTATTAAAGACTGGTTGACTGTAAGTACTTAAACTTGTGTCTGGGATTGCCTCTCTTCCCATTGGTGGACATATCTGCTTTCATTTCCAGTACCACAGTGTTTTGACTATAATAAATCTGTTTGGAAATCAGGAAGCTTCTGTATGCAGAACACTGCACACAGATGTTTTGTAGCTTTTTTCATAATTGTAAAAGCTTAGGTGTCTTCAGTATGTTAATAAATAAATTTTTGAGACAATGGAATGATATTAAAAGTGAATTATAAAATCAATGAAATGTCATGGAGGAAAATATAATACATATTAAGTTTGTGAAATAAATCAGAAAATTCTGCACAATGCTGTGATAAAAAGAAAATATATAGAGACAGCTAAAGTATTAGTGCTTGTCAAAAGTGAGGAAGGGAGAGATAAATGAACATGTAGCACACAGAGGATTTTAAAGCAGTTAAAATTTCTCTGCATTATTTACTGTTATGTGGATACATTAGTTCAAATTTGTAAATGATAAAGTGCTAAGAATGAAAGTGAACCATAACTCAAGTTAAGATATTTGGGTAATAATGATGTACCAGTGTAGGTTCATCTCATAACAAGTGAAACTTTTTCATAGAGAAAGGGAAAGGGGGAGTGGCTGTGTGTATGCAAATGTGTGGAAACTTTGTCCCTTCCTTTAAAGTCTGCTAGCTGTAAATGTGAAAACTGCTCTAAAAATAAAATCTTCTGAAATACACTGGAAAGGAAGTAGAGGAAACACAATCTTTGTATATGTATGGAGAGTATATAAAGTGGTCCATGCATTATGGAAAACAAAAGTCTCACTAAAAATTAGAAACGTAAGTAATTTATGCTTTAGAAATCTCTTTTCTGTATATATACCTACAGAATATCAGTGCTCATATTGCAAGATTCATGATAGACAAAGAAATTTTAAAGAACTTCATAGAAAACCTAGTATAACACACACACACACACACACACACACACACACACACACACACACCACCACCACCACCACCACCACCACCACCACCACACATACTTATCTAGCTTTGAGTTTTAAGTGCTTTCACTTATCTTGGCATTTTCTGCTTTTGCTGTGTCTAGTCCAAGATTGTAAACGACAAAGCAAGAGGATGCTACTTCATGCATCCCATACATAGTGCATTGCTCTCAAAGATAGTTGTGAAGAAATGTGAACATGATGTGGCTTAAACCTGTCTAAATACAGCTATAAGGAAGAGGAAGGTAATTTGACAGCTTATCAATTTGTAAACTACAAAATTAAAGGAACTATTATATTTCCTTTCTGGGAAAAAAAGAATGGTGCTAATTAGAAAAACTGGTTAAAATTCCCTCCTATATGAAACCATATGTTCCATGAAACTTCTCCGAGGAAAACTGGAATGAGAATAAGTCAGAAGCATTGGTTTTGTTGGCAAAGGAATCTGGACATAGTCTTTTTGGGAAACTCCACTCCTAGGTGGGTGTGAGTACTAGGTGTCTACTTGTAGTCTGTACATAACACATCACCATGAAATAACTTGACAGATGCAACTTAAGACAGCAATGCTTTATTATGGATTTTGATTACAGGAAATATTAGTCCATCATGGTGAAGGTCATGATGGCAGGAGCTTGTTGCCTGTCTACAATAGCCAAAAACAGCAATCTCAGGACAGAAGTTATGTCTGGACTGTAGTCTTCAGTGCTCCTTTCCAGAAATTCATCAGCTAGGGACCAACTTCTACATGTTTCAAAATGTCTCAAAACAGAGCTACTGCCTAGAGTTTCAAATGTCCCAATTCATTAGTCTATGGAGATCATTTTACACTTGCACTGTAAGGTTCCACTCTGGTTTCAACAGTCCCAACAATGCTCAAAAGTCCAATGTCCACAATTTCCTGTGACTCAACCAACTATTAACTATAAGATCATATAAAATAGAAAAGGAAACTTACAAACTTCCATTATAGTATGGTGCCCCATTTGCATCTCCATCTTAAGAGCAGGAAGAGGACAACAGCAAAGAAAGAATGGACTAAAGCAAACCAAAACTCAGTAGGGAAAACATCAAAAACTACAAATCCATACCCAGCATCTAAGCCTCATGATGGGGCATGATATGGACTCTAGTAGGCTTAGCTCATGCTCCCCATGACTCTCTTAGCTGTAGCATACGTGGCCTCTATATTGGTTTGGTTTTACTTGATGCCTGTCCTTAATAGATATATCTGGTGTCTCGAAAATTCCCAAGTCTCTGTTGTATTTACCTTGAACAGCTTCACACTTTGTCCTCTCAGAACCTCACAGGCTATTTTGTTTTCTTTGAATTTTGGCAAAAGGTTGTATGACTCTGTAACTATTGCACCATGCATGTTTAGAAAGCCAGTACCATGTAGATGGTGCCAAGTTCTGTTCTCAACGTGAGATGTAGCATGCCTCCAAGAACGACATTGGCAGTAGCCTTTGACTACCTAGTGGCTTCTCCAGAAGCAACATTGCCTTCGGCAGCTATTTACAGGGGACGCTTGTGTTTCTATATTTTCAGGACTCCATTTTCAAATGAGTTTGCATTTTGTACCCTGGAGCCTTTGATGGCTATGGTTCTGCCATTAAGGAACCTTTCCTATTATCCCAGGGTAAAGTGCTTTGCTTATTTTATTAGCATTTGTCATTTTAACAATTGTAGCGAATTTATCTGGATCTGTCTTGCCCACAACTTGTATTCATGTAGCATGTATTCATGTTACTTCCCACATCAAACTGTACATTTTTACATCATCTGCTTTGCTCCCCCACTGTGTGTGTGCGTGTGTGTGCGTGTGTGTCTGTCTGTTTTTCTGTTATTGTATATGTGGAAGGCAGTGAACAGAAAGAATTCCATGTTTGGAATGCCATATTACCTTGAAATTTTATTCACCAAATTAACTGTCTATTGCCTTTGAATTTAGATAGTCAAAATATAAGGACAAGGGAAAAACAGCCCTCCCCCCCCGTCTGTCTCCTTTCTTTCTTTCTTTCTTTCTTTCTTTCTTTCTTTCTTTCTTTCTTTCTCTCTATCCCTCCCTCCCTCCATCCCTCCCTCCCTTCCTTCCTTCCTTCCTTCCTTCCTTCCTTCCTTCCTTTCTTCCTTCCTTCCTTCCTTCCTTCCTTCCTTCCTTCCTTTCTCTCTCTCTTTCTTTCTTTCCAAATATAACAAGAGTAGTCTATAGTCAAATTCCCAATAAAGTTGTCATTTCCTTCAAATCTGTTGTGCTGGGTCTGAGTGGAAGGCGATGTGGGGGAGTGGGGGGGATGGGAAGTGGAGGGGGGGAGACTGAGAGAAGAGGAAGATGAAGAAACTTCAGTAGTGTGTAAAATAAATGAAAAACTGTTATTAAAATAAAAATACCTTTTGTCATTTGGCTTTTCTGATATCTCACTGGAATGTCCTCTTGCTTTCTGTTTGTAGCCTTTTGTTTGATGCTTAGCAGCTCCTAACCTTTCTATATTTCCCCACAAACCAGTTCTTAATGCTTACCAATTACAGGGTCAGGTTTCCAACAACAACAGCCCCTCTTCTGGTATCCATCTTATGTCTTATTTATTTACTTTTCTCTCCACAGTATGAAGCATCTGGTTTCATGGTCCTTTAGTCTGTCACTGTCAAGAAGGCATGACCTCAGAAGTGTTCACTGTAGGCTGTTACATCTTAGCAGCAGATAAGCAGAGAAGTTGGGCCAAAAATTGTGTTATAGCCTTCAAAGCATGCCCTCCAGACACTCACTTCCTCTGTGTCGGCTCCACTTGTTAAAGGTTGCACAGTCTCCTAGAACAGTGCCACCGTCTTGGGAACAAGTGTTCGTATGCAGGAACCTGTGGGCATATTTTGCACTGGAACACGTCCACATATATAAGCTTGTGGCTACGTTTTGCATTCAAACAGTTGTTCCACTCTTAAATGCGCACAAGATGCATGGAGGAGTCGTTGATTTTCTAAACTGACTAGGAGAGATAAGGAAGATGTTCACACAATGCTTGTCCTTGGGCCACTAAAATAGGTTTGCAATAAGCAGAAGCACTTTCATTACTTTTTTTCTTCAAAAATTTTTTCTTTGAAAGTGTAGTTTTCATTTTACATACCAACCCCAGTTCCCCCTCCCTCCCCTTCTCCCTCCTTCCTGCCTCCCCCTTATTTTTCTAATTTTATACGCTGATGCATTTCCTTCTCTGGAATGTGGGACTGGACGTAGTCCTCATGGTGGCTAACCTCAATTTCAGGTGGACTGTGCTGAGGAGTCTTTGAGAGCTGCCAGATCATTCTTGTGAGTGTGTCTGCGAAGATATCTCAGGGGCGATCAAGTCAGGAATTAGTAGACTGAGGAAGGGTTACCTTACCAATGTGTGTGGGACTTAATGATGTGTTTTGGGTCTGAGGAGGACAAGGCAGAGACAGAAGTATGGGTATTTGATTGAGAAATCTCCCCAACAGGCTCAGGCATTTGAAGACTTGGTCCCCAGTTACTGGCACTGTTTGGAGAGGTATGGACAAGTACAGCCTTGCTGGATGACAGGATGTCGCCGGGAAGAGGTTCTACTTCCAGTTTGCTCTCTGCTTCCTGTTGTCATGACCTCACCCCCAAATGAAGAACTCATCCTCCTTGACCAACAACCCAAAATAATCTCCCTTCATTAAGTTGTCTTAAAGCCTTGGTGCTTTATCACAACAGAAATGTAATGTAGTGTAGGAAGGCTTGCATTCTTCCTGAACTAAAAAACCCACCTTCTGCCAGCTGAGGACCCTGGATTTTCATTGATTCAGGACCTTTAATGGCAAATGGAGAATCCTGGGTCTCTGGCTTGCAGGCGGCCCACGGATGGGTTTCTGAGATTCTTTAACCTTATGAACCAACTCTTTATCTTCGGAGCATCTCTTTATCTGTTGTGATAGCACTGTTCCTCTGGAAACCCCAACTAATGCAATTTGTAATTCTTTATGCCACATAATGAGAGTCATATGACACTCCTGACATTTCTTGCCACCTAAGGCCCAGGGAGAGGTCAGTCACTCTCCATCCTCTGCTCACTGTGAGTAAATAATGAACGATGACAGTCATGCAGGGTCACAGTCAGAAACACTGGCTTGCATTTGTCTTATCTGTGCTTCTAATGAGCCTCGCTGTCTCAAGACATCTGCCAATTCGACAGAGTCACAGGGCAAACCAAATGGCATTTTGTGATCTCCTTTTTGTATGGAACTTGTTTCTAAAGACTTCTTATCATCTAGAAGGATTATTTTTATTTCATAGTGACTTCATTTTGTATAGCCTTCCCACAGATCTTTATTATAAAGACTACTCTTATTAGGAAAATGTTTTGATTATTAGTCACCGGGGTTGTGTGCTGGCGCATCAGTGAAAGCAAAGCAAAGGACACGTATTTTATTTGAAATGCAAATAGGTATCAAGGGTATCTTGGGGGAAGAAAGTTCATTCAGATGGCAAAGACACCAAAATAGGAACATAAAACAGCTTTTATCTCATAGTTTTATGGCAACAATAATAACTTAATAACTTTTATGCAAACCGTTATGCTGATCATTTTTTTCTGTCGTGTGTGTGTGTGTGTGTGTGTGTGTGTGTGTGTGTGGAAAATAGTTTCTTTCCAAAATAATATTTAGAAATATCAAACATTTTTGGAATACAGAAGGAGATATTGGTTTCCTGGAAACTTAGGCTACAGGTGGTTGTGGACCACTTGAGGTGAGTCCTGGGAACTGGCCTCAAGTCCTCTTCCAGAGCTGTGTGCTCTTAAGGGCTAAGCTGTCTTTCCTGCCTGATTTGTTCTTTTTTAGCTACTATTACAATCCTCATAATACAACTGAGGAATAACAAGAAATGTGAACGTTTAGTACTGTAAATTATATAGTTTACAATTATAAACCTGAAATATGTAATAAAATGTACATTTTATCAAATGTTTTAAAGAATATATGCATATTTTCAGCTCTTATCATTTCAAACAGAATTTATATACTATTCTGTCATCAATCTATGAATAATACAAATCCAAAGTCACTGAAATACCAAGTGTAAGTTTTTTAAAAATTAAATTTGGAATAAAAAAAATCTCACTTTGAGCCGGGTGTTGGTGGTGCACGCCTTTAATCCTAGAATGTGGGAGGCAGAGGCAGTTGGATCTCTGTGAGTTTGAGGCCAGCCTGGTCTACAGAGAGAGTTCCGGGACAGCCTCCAAAACAATACAGAGAAACCCTGTCTCGAAAAACCAAAAAAACAAAAACAAAAACAAAAACAACAACAACAACAACAAAAAAACCCAATTCACTTTGACCCTAAACTTAATGAACACTGAAATGATCTTGAGTGCCCACAGAATGTCATATGTCAAAGGCTTGGTCTCCAGGGTAGCATAACTGAGAGACTGTGGTACTTTGAGAAGTTGGGCCAGGTTCATTAGGCCTTTCATGGGGTGGCTCAAAAGGGACTCTGGGTCTATCGCCCCTACCTTCTCTTGTTTTGATTCATGGCTATTTTCCTTTCCTACTCCATGTTCTTGGTCCCATGGACTGCCTTGCCACAGGTACAAAGGACCATAGGAAGCCAATCTGTGAAGTCCTAAACCAAATCAGTAGACGCCATTCTTTATAAGTCAATCTTTGTTACAGTGATGGGAAACTGACCTGTGCAAAACAAGCTGATCAAAGAGTAGATGAAGGAATTGACAGAAAATCTTAGTCTCTCAAGTTCATTGGGTTAGACAGAATTGATAACAACAGACCCACTTTTCAAGATAACTTATTTTTATTAATACTGTAAAGTAAAAACTCTTAGATATTATCACCCACACCACTTTTTTTTTCCAACTACTTAGTCTGCCCTGTAACCTCCTGTGAGGTCTGTCTCAGCTGTTTGGGACACAGAGGGATGCAAGATAAACTTCTCAACATAAGAATGGCAATCACAGTAATGACAACTAGCATTTACTAGCACTGGAGACAGTGTTAGGATACAGACGATTCGGCATCTTCTTTGGGCAATAAACTCAAGGAACCATCAAGAAAACACAGCAACCAAGATAAGGAATGTTAATTTGGCTCATCCAGTCCCCACCTCTCTGAACACTGACTCTTTACAAGGTGCTGCCCTACGAATTTATTTACATTTTCCCTAAAAGTCTAATTAAGACTTTTCTCAGCAAGATTGTTACTTTTTTGAAATGAGGGACTCACAGTCTCACCCAAAAGTCCAAAAGGAGTTCAATTGGCCATGGAACCCAGGCTCCGTGCTGTGAAGTACTATCTTCCCTTCAAGGATTTTAATGTTCATCTCACATTGTGTGATGGGATTCCATCTCCAAAGGGGACAATGAAAAGCGTGATCCTACTCTCTTCATGAAGGCCATACCGTCAAGACAGCCCTGCACGATTTCCCTGACAGACAAAGGTCACAGACATCTGGTCTTTCCAAGACTTGGGCAGGTCTTTATTTTTTTGCTCTCCATTCTGCTGGAAGATATAATTAAAAAACAAAAACAAAAACAAAAACAAAAAAAACAAAAAAGTAACCCACCCTCTTCTCTTTTCTGTAAGTTCAACAACAAACAAAACACAACCCCAACTTTTCTTAAGCCCTTGGATGAGTTTTCTTTGTCTCCCTTTCACACTCCACACTCCCCCACAGGGGGCCTGTGATTAGAAGAGTAATCTAAAAGGCAGAAAATGATTTGAAAACTCAGTTCTGGCTGATTATTTTCTCCAGTCTGTCATATGGGTGCCTGTCAGAACAACCTTGGAAAAGAAAAGTTGTTTTTCTGAAGAAAAACACAGTGTTCTATTTAAGTGAACGAGGCACGAAGGTTCCTTTGTATTTCATTCCCTGACAATTGCTACATTTGAACATTATTATTGACTTCTTCTTTGAGGAATGCCGTGATGAATTGAATGGTTAAATAAAACCTTTGCAGCTTGTGCTGTTTTCTCCTGATAATCAGAGTCACAATTACATTCTACAATAACAAGGTTTAAAGGAGTAGAATCTTTCTTGGTGATTTGCAAAGTCCTTCTTGCACCTAAAACCATCTAACCGCTCTGAAGTGATAAGGCAAGATGCAGAGCAATGGTGATAGCATTTAGCTCATCTGGCACTTGCTGTTCTAAGCACCTTGCCATCAAGTGTTATCTTGAAAAAAAAAAAGGAGTCTCAAAGGAACAAAGGCTCCACAGCATCTGTTTTCCATCGAGTGATCTTTATCCTTACATATAAGAAAGTCATAGAGGAAAATTGTTTGAACTTAAACATACCTTCAAAACATTACACATAGGAGCCTTTGTTGAGTGGAGAATATCTACACAGGAACTGGAACTGCTGTATGTGAGACAGAGTGGTCTTATTGCACTGATAAAGCTATCAGGCAGGGTTAATGTGTGTGAGGGCGCCTTCAGTTGAGCTCTTCATGATGGAGAATCACAACTGAACCCAGCAGATGACCCTCTGAGCCACCCCAATGCATATGACGTATGTTGCTAAATTTGGAGAGAAAAGGGCATTGTGAAGACAGGGCATTTTGTTTTGCTTCTTGCTCCACCTATATTTTAGTTAGCTGGTAAGAAAACAGGGTTCCTTTGCATTGGTTACCTGACTTATATACAGTTCATCATTAACAGAAGTAAGGGCAGGTTGTTTTCTCTCCATTATTGATAACTTTCTTACACAGCCCAGGAACTTTTGCCCCAGTAATGGTGATGATCCTGTGCATTGGGTCTTGTTCTATCAACTAATAGCCAAGACAATCTGTCCCAGCCATTCCTACAGGCCTATATTATGGAGACGATTCCTTTCCTGAATGGCTCCATGGTGTCTCAAATGAAAGCTTGCTAGCATACGCTCCTTTTATCTCTCTTAAAACCTCTCTTTCTCCTCTCTCATGACCCTCTTTCCAGTTTCATGAATGTGGCATCATATATGCAACTGAATTTATTGCATCTTAATGAAAAATTGAGCTATTTTTATTTTGTTTATAGACAGGATTTCATTGCATAGCCTAAGCTGGCCCAGAACTTGTGATCTTCATGCCTACAACCCCAGAGTGCTTGATTAGAGATGTGTGCTACCACTGCTGGGGGATTTTGCTTCTTGCTTCTTATTCATCTTTCTTAGACAAATTTAGATTGTAGACTGACCTTCAGGGCTCTAATCTGTAAAACCAAAGGCTAACATAACAACTAACGTCTCTGGGTTATAGGTTACTGTGGGATCAAGATAAGATAAACAAGCATGAAATACTTGTGGTAACCTCTAAAGTCTAAAGACTAATTAAAATTGGTGCTATTTTACTATTAAATTCTGCTCTAAAGTCAACCTTATGGAGCACATTCTTTGAATGGGTGGGATGATGGCAGAAGATATGAATTATCCAGTTAATTTTGATTCTAATGGAAAGAGTTCATGCTTTATAACTTAACGAGTACTCAAACAGAGCCATTTTACTTGAACCTTACCCAATTCTGAAGCCGAAAACAGAAGTGCTACACTGTTAGCCTTAGTCTATGTGAATGAGTGCCAAGGGTCTTGACTTTTACTGACTCAAGCTTAAGTACTCCAAGTATCACATTTTGATATAGAGAAACGTCTCTGTCTCTTACTAACCCTTGTAAAAGATATAGCTGCATGTAAAGTAAATTATCAAGGCTTATATTGTTGATTTTCCATGTGGCTTATGGGGTGGCCTTCATGTCCCTGTTGAGTGGATTGCCTATCACTGCATTATGGCAGGCTGTGCTGTCTGTTTCCTTTCAGAGGTTATGCATTCAGCTGCTAATGCATTGTCAATTTTGTAAATGGCTATTTCCAAATCATTGCTAACACAAAGCATATCCAGGATGAAGAAAAGAATAAGGAGTTGTTCATTCTTAAGCTGTTCTTCTATTCCTGACCTTTTTTTTTTTTGTG